CTGAAAATTGGCTTACAAATTGACCATCACTTCATATTTCATTTATCAAAAAAATTGCTTATTTTTCCTTTCTATCTCTATCATACATATTAAAATTATTAAACTCAATATGTAAACTTACGAGGAACTATTAAGCATTTAAGTCAAACGTATGCGTAGTTGCGTACTATATGACATATGTGTATTGAAGAATTCCACAAATTTCTTTCAATTTCTCTCATTTGCAATTGGTGAAATATAAAAAAAATTTCACACAATTCCACACAATTCTTCAGACTTTAAGTTACCAGTTAGGCCCTTAATATTAAATTTTGATTATTATGAATATATATATTTAACAAAAAAAGTAAATCAGTTTTTAATATTCATCTCTAAAAATTTTGAATATTATACGTGCATATGTTAAATTTATAAACAAATTTTGAATTGTTCAGAATAAAATATAGATGTTTTTTTTTAAAGAATAAAATATAGATTGGGAAAAAATATCTACATTTGTTATATTTAAATATTTTTGTTTCGTAAAAGAATATCCACCATTTGATTTTTGAAGGTCAATTAAATTTAGGATGCACTCATAACAAAAAAATAGTTGAACAGTTTTTCTTTTCTTTTTTGTCGTAGTTTAACAGTTTTAATTTTCGTAACTAGTTATATTTTTAACTGTGAAATAAAATAAGAATTAGAAGAAAAAAATTGTTACGTGACTTACTCATGTTCCTCTCTTCATAAGTGGAGTAACAAAATCTTTTTACTCCCATTTTGTGGGACCCATAATTTTTTTACTAACAAATGCATTATTTTTGTAAATGGTAAATTTTTGGCTGAATTCAGCGTGACTATTGATTACGCGTGGGGTAACCGGTCGGTTGAACTATACGACATTTTAGGTGTTTTGAGAAAAGAAAAAAAAAATGATTTGCGAATTGTAAATATTAGTATAATTAAACGCGGAAAGTTCGAGTCTACGAGTTGTAATGAATACTATATGTTAAAATGTAAAAATATTAAATTTCAATTTATAAACGCAATAGTTTAATAGATGAGAGGATCGTAAGCCTAGTGATTACCATAACACCATAGATGAATCGTATGAAAGTGCTTTGAAGGAGAGCATAAGCAGCGAGACCCGTTTCGCTCGTGTGGCCAATAAAGACTTGAGCCACTACTATGCATCCAAATGACGTCACTCTGAACAAAGTCGATGGTAAAGCTATCCTCCACATCTTCCTTACTTCATTCCAAACCTTCTTCCTAAAGTAAAGATTCTCTCTCCTTTGCTCTGTCTCTGACCCATTTAGTAGTCTCTCTTCCATTTCTCCACCAACTCTACTCATTTTCTCCTAAACAGAAAAGAAAAAAAAACACAATTAGAGTTTTAACTAAGTACTTATATCTAGATGCCATAAAGATAAAGCTTTCACCTTTCAATCAAAGTTTATCATCCAAGTTCAAAAAAAAAAAAAGGTCTAAAAAGGAATAACCAAGAATGCTAAGTAAAGTCGACTTGCGATTACAAGCACACAATCCTCACGCACGCATATGCGAGATTAGAGAGCTAAGTATAGATCCTAATTCGCAAAAACTTGTTCTCTTTTCTTGAGAATGGATTTTCTTCAAGAGAT